ATACTTTTTAAATTTAATACCTAGCCGTTTTCCCCTAACCACAACATTTCCATGTAAAGAGTAATTAAGCTCTACTTTTATAAACATCAAAGAAAATGAGAATTACTCATATCTTCAAAATGTATAAATTATTTAACTATATAATTAATTCAATAATATGCAAATTTATGTTTACTACGCCAAAAACTTAAAAAAAAACTAAAGTGCTGAAACGATTTGAGGGGGGTGCCTGCTTTAGAGGCTTAAAAAATCGTTTTTTTGCAATAATGTCTTCCAAAACCAGCCAAGAATATATCCCTAAAATTTCAGAAACAAATTCAAATTATTTTCGAAATTACAGAAGAAATAGTGAGCAAGAGTCAAGCATGTATACGAGCGGAACGAAAACTTCGACGCGATTTTTAATTTTTTCGATTCTTCCTAATTAGCGGGAAAGAGAGGAAAAAACAAAACATCCTATCGAAACGAGACAAAATTCATTGTATTCAGGATTAAATTTTATTTTATTTGAACCTAAAAAAACTTGCGAAAAATTGGTGAATTTCTCTTTTTTATTTTTAAGGTTCAATTAAAATCTATACTATTGAAAATATATATTTGTTTTGAATTTTTTGTTTCGAATGGAAATTGTGACCTGGCTGACCTGCATCTTTCCTGCCAAATGACACCTGCACGCCAGTGGTGTGTACTAATTTTGGTATTATCCTATATCCACGGATTTTTTAACAAAGTTTTGTCGTTTTATTTTTATGAAATATTCAAAAATAATTTTAACATAGTTTTTGCCGTTTTATTTTTATAAAATATTCAAAGATATCACGGGTTTTTTATACTTTTTTTAACCGCATTTCACTCAATTTGAAAATACCAAGTTAAAACCATGGACTACTATCCATGCTTTGTGTTATACATATTTCACTCAACTTGAATACAGTAAATATCAGGTTCAAACCAATTTTATACCTTTTCACCATGGTTTTTTAATAGCCTTAGTCCGTTTTCAAAGGTTAATATTTTATATAACGTGATTGGCCACTTTCGATGAAGGTGTACCTGTGCTGTAAATAATTTCATAAAACTATGGAACAACAAAATAAAACATTTGTAAAATGTGTTGTATTTTATACTTCAAATGGTTTTAGATACAATTTAACATATAGAAATATTTTGAACAAAATATTCACACTTTATACAAAAATTATATTTATGGTAAAATGTCTTTTATACAAATTTAATGTGCTGATGGTTCTTTAGATAATTATTAAACTTAAAATTAAAATCTTATGATACATTCACTCTTTGTGAATAACATAATTATCTTACCTCGAGATAATGTAATTTGCAACACATCTGATTTTGTACAATAATGATTGGTCAATTCAAAATTCAAGTTTAATAATATAATAAAAATAAAATAATTATATTTACTGATTTGTTTGGATCATGAATACTCTTTGCAGGTTATATATTAGTGATGTAATAATGTTGCAATTTGGATGAGTACTTTGAGTTGCCCTAATAGATAAGATTAAAAAGGGGGGAGAGGTTTGAGAAAAAATCACGAAATATCATAACGGGGCGGCTAGTAAAATATCACGTGTATTTATTTTTTACCTGAATTAAAAAAAAATCTTTAACACGTGATATTGGAGGGGAAAGGGTGTTAATTTTAAATATCATTGCGTATAACAAAGGTAAAGAAGGGATCCAAAATGTTTGGAAACGCGATCACGTGAGATAAAAAAATAATAAAAAATGGAAAAATAAAAATACAAAAAATAAATAAAACAAGAGAAGAAAAAAGAAAGTAGAATATTTTCAACAATATAAATAAAAATGTCTGATTGCGAGAAAAATCTAATACGGAGAGAAAAAATAATATGTTCAATATTGAAATTAAATTAATATTTTTTGTCTATTGAACAATAATTAAACTGACTATATTTAAATTAAATACCCTTCCTAAACTATGAAATCCCAAGACTTTAATTGCACAAGTATAATGCAAACACATTGGTTAGGAGTAAAATATGGTTACAAATTTTAGAAGTAAATTCATCTCAAACGAAAGAAATAACCAATAATGAGAAAAATTTGTCATAACGGTGTAAAATCACTCTAATCGAATATTGTTACATCACTAATACTCGTGTTAAATTTTAAATGAAATCGAATTCAATCATACAAATTAATATAGACTTATACGCAAGAGTATGTGGTAATATTACAAAAACATTTATATAATTATTTACTCAATAATACAATTTGTTAATTGTTTCGAATAAGTTTACTGTGTTATATATCAAAACGTTTTTATTTACATTTTTTCATTTATACAATGCATACTCAATTAATCCTAAATGCCAAGAAAAACATCAATAGTCTCGAGCACATTATTGTGTCTGTACAAGTTATCATGTGTCATTTATTATTTGTCTATGTTGCTAATTCTAAGTTGCAATATATTATATATGGTAGGTAAAATATATAACATGTATTTTCATGATATAGTACTCAGATGAAAAAGAAAACTTTAAATAATATACATCTAATTACAATCATTTTTGTCCGTGTTCGAAGAATATATTATGAATATAGAGGTTCTTATTTATATATTTATCATAGAAATATAACATTTTATTATTTTACACATTATTTTAGGATAAAAGTTTATTATCTTCAAAGAATTTATATGAGCAGAATTAAACATGATCTCATGATATATATCAACAAAATATTTGAAACACATGTGGAAAAACAATTGACTAATCGTAAGCATAACAGAAGTTATAAAGCCCGCAACTTTCAGAATTATGTTTATAATTTTGTAACAAAATCAATATTTTCCATACATTTTTTTTAAACTTAACTAATTCAGATATATTTTTAAAACTTGTATATTTCTGTTTTGTGTAGATTTGATAAGAAACACTATAAACAAAATGCAGATTGCAATAATCAAATAAAAATAATTCGAGCCTTCTAATGAACAGATATTGTTTTTCATTCTTGGTACAATTAACATTTTCAATATTCACGTGAATATTGTGCTGTTATACTAAATGTTGACTTTTAGCAATATTTAAGAGATACATGGGTACACAGATAAATTACATACTTTAAAATGTAAATCACTAAAAAGTATATTTAAAAAAATTGATTAAAAAACAATGCAATATCTAAAAGAGAAAGACACTATTTGTAGCTTAAAATAATTCAATATATATATATATATATATATATATATATATATATATATATATATATATATATATATATATATATATATATATATATATATATATAATATCATATATATATATATAATATATATATATATATATATATATATATATATATATATCATATATATATATATATATATATATATATATATATAACAGATTTTCGAGTAAGGTTGATGAAAATATGATTATCTGTTCCCATAATAAGTAAATTGTAAGGCATTTTTAATAAAAATTTAACTCCGAATTTATCAAAACTTAATACAAAGTAACTATAGTTTAACAGTTAAGTATATATAATTATTGATAATTAAACCAAATTTTGTGATAACTATAATATTTGTTCATATTTGGCATTTGTATAAAATAGCTGAGAATTTTTGATAACGTAATAATTTTGAAATTTTACAAATAATTGTTTTTTATATAAAATAAAAATTAATATGGTATAGAACGATTGATTCATATAAAATATTATATATTAATAATTGTATTTTATAAAAATCAATTGAAATGAGTCTTTCCACTATATTACAAATTTAAAAAACAAATAGTATACAAATACATGACACATATTTTCAATAATAGTCAAATTCAAAATATCGAAATCGGAATGAGTAACTATTTTTTAAATTATGAACTTTGTTTTCGTTCTAGTTTTTTTTTTTTTTTTATGTATACGAATATGAGGTAAATGCTTTTATCAATAAATTTTTAAAACTTATCAAACTTATATACTTTCGAGATATGCATTTTCCATACAATTACAATTGTAAATAAAACTTAGAATAACAAAATTTTAAAAAATTAGCTAATGTTGCAATTAAGACAAATTAAATTCTTAACTGCAAAATATTACTTCTTAAAAATTAATGCTTATAAAATGCACAAAGTTAATACTTGTAAAAATTGTAAAAATTATTGCCTATAGACTTATTTATGAGATGACTTCTTATGATTAAAAGACTTATAAATTATAAGGATATTTTCCATAAACATGATGATATATAGTTTTTGATCACTGACAAACTTTTGATTATATTCAGATCAAACCAGTCTTGTTGAAGTTTATGCATAATATATATTTTAGAGTCCACACATTTTACTCTCACTTGATAACCACATAGTAAATTGTCTTCACCTCTATTCATATAACCATTTCACATGTCGTCTTGGTTGGTAATTCTACAGAAATATTTGGCAGCTCCGTTAAAATTATTTTGGCAGTTTTATCTTTTTCAACACTGATAACACTAGCAGAAGGATCATTCGTATTTGATAAATGACCAGTAATATTTGTCTCAGAGCCATTGGTTTCTATAATAATAATTTTCAATTGAGACTGCTTCCGTTGGACTGGTACAGATTTGTCTAAACGAACTGCGAAATTTGAATTTGGTGAGTTATCGGCCGAATTTTCTGGTGGCTGTAACATCGAAACCGCTTTATATAAAACCGTTGGCTGCTTCTGAGCAGATGTGATATTTGGCGATTGATATCCCATAATCATATGAGGCATGGAACCCAACTGAAGAGTAGGATCTGTGTAATATATAGAATTAGTGTTTATCTGTAGTTCCGATTCCGGAACCACGTCTGGAAAAGATGTACTCGCAAACTGATAACAATCGTTGGAAAATATCGGCTGTAAGACGAGTCCGTCACTTTGGCAAACTGTGTGGACCTCGTTCATGGGCTGAATGTTTGGCATTTGATATGCTTGAATTAAATTAGAATACTGTCAGACTTTATGCTGCCTCATTTCATATGCGTTGCGTTGGTCGCCATAAGCACCGGCATAAGGTTCTGAATGACTAGAACGGCCGTGGCCATGATGGCTCGACGATGCTACAAACAAAAACATCGGATATTTACATTTAATCGGGGATTTAAACGACGGTACAATTACCACAAACCACAAAAGTGCTCTCGTGCCTTCTGTTAATGCTACATTCATTGTTAAGCCATGCGATAAAGTAAATGAAACATAAATTCAGCCCAATCAATAGGGACGTTGAACTGGATTTCTACACAAGACTTAGTTTGCGGATCAAAGTGAGTTTTCGAAATAAAAGTTTACGATATTAAATAATTACCGCATTGTAGTTAGTAAGTTTTGTTCGGATTAACCCCAATATGATTTATATATTAATTTCCCGAAAACTACTAGGAAGAAGAAAAATGTAGATGATTGATGACTTACGCGAGAAGAATGAATACAGGAACTGAAAGCCAAAATACAAGACCAGGAACCAAACGAAAATGCATAAAAATGAATGAAAATGTTAATAAAAGTAATGAAATGGTAATGGTAAAAAGAAACAAGGTAGGAAAACGCAGTCATTGATTTGTTTGCTCACACACCAAGGACCTGAAACATTATATACTAACTATATTTTAATAATCATTATTATCGAATATATCATTTGTAATCATGTTAATAACGAATATGCCATATATAATTTATAGGAGTGTTTTGTCGGTTTTTAAAAACCTTTTTTTAGATAATTGTGAAACGCAAAAACTGGTTTTTAGTAAAAAATATCGGTTTTTAATTTAAGAACCTATTTTTTGTGACAATACAAATTTTAAATAATCAGCTTTTGCCAAAGGAGGCAAAACTACTTATGGTCTATTTAATTTTTAATATTGAAAATCTCGTAGTACTGTTTTCCAATATTCTATCACCAAATATTTAATACGATTTTATAGTTAATATTAAGTAGATTATATCTGTGAACTTTATTCAAGGACTGATATTAAACAAATTAAAAATAGATTCTATGACACGACTTCAAATTTTGGACAGCCGAAAGCATGATCCTTTTGTGTGTAGTAATCCAGCATTCTTCCATTTATTCCGAAAAAGCGCAAAAAAACTATTGCTATGATTGTATAATATGATCTTATACAAATAATATTTTAATTTATTAGACACAGACAACATCGACATGCATGTGCCACCGCAAGCACTTATCCAAAAATTAAGAACATCAAATGACAACGATTACCGATTGACACGAAACGAAATGAAAAAAACAGACATATCAAAATGAATGAATAATGAGGTGCCATCCCAATGACTTAAGAAGGTATTATTAAGCATATGTTCAGACATGCGACCTAGTTTTGTTAATATTTTAGTAAGCGAGCCATCCAAAAACATAATCATAATTTAAAGATATCTTTAACAAACCTTTTGGATGATACTGGGGCCGCCCTTCTGAGTAGCCCCTCGTAGGAGCACCTCTACTATGTTGATGCGACCTGGAACCGCCGCTACTTTCGCCCCTACTCCTACTTCTCCCCCTTCCTCCTGGTCTGCTGCGGTCACCACTCTGCCCACTCACAGGCACACTTCGAGGACCTCCGCCTCCTTGTTGATGCCGCTAATAAATGATAAATTTATATTATTATATTATACCAACGATAAAACTAATAAAATAGAACATTACATTAGCAATTCAGATTTTTTCGTAAAAACAAACTTCTCTTTCCAGAATTTAAATATTCATATAAAATAAATATATTTTTATTTTTAACTTACCATCCTTCTTAATGTATTCATTGGCCTCCTCAGTGTTTCACTAATTCGTCTTGCAGGAGGCTTTTTAGGATTTGAACTAGGAGTGTGGACAGCGCAACATTTGATGAACACACCCATTACTATAATAAATGCTAACCCCATTAGGACTACAAAGTACCAATATTCAGTTACCCACTGGGCTAATGTGAGTAAAACTTGTTTATTGAAAAGCATATTTTTCAATCTGACTAATGGACCTTCGGCATCCACTGCACGACATTTTAAGAAAACATCACAGTAACCCTAAAATTGTAAATTATAATTTGAAAGTTATGATAAATGATCAAAATATTAAATAAAAAATAGAGCTTGCTCTAATATGATATGGAATAAACATAAATTTTACCTGAAAATTATCACAAGGGGAACCTGGACGCAAACTGATGCCACCGGGTGGTAAGCCCACTTGGTGAGCAAATTCACTTGTACTTCGGCATGTTGCAGGATCTGTTCCATTTTGACATGCCAATTCACATAGTTTACGCTTATCAATATTTGGAATGATACTTGATGTCAAAAAGCATTCTGTTAAATTCCATTCAAGACATATAGAACCACTACACTCTCCATTTATACACAACTGGGTACCTGAAATAAAAGATGTAAATACCAAGTGAATGTATGTGCCTGCTTTTATAGATGAATTTCTGTTAAAAATTTAATTTTTATAACGTTATTAAATATTGATTACATGTCAACGACTTCAAATGTAAAAGTAAAGTTTGTTTTTGTAAAAATAAATGTAACAAATTATCAATGTAAAATTGGTACAATTGCGCGATATAATAAAGTAAAAATGCAATTTTTTTATAATTTCAATGTAAATTAAAATTTAATTACCATTGTTGCAACGTGTCTTGTTTGCCATCGGTTTGGGTGCTGGACATTCTGGTGACAAACCATTACAAGTTGAGCTCCAAGAACAATCAGATTCTGATTTGCATTTTGTTCGGAAAGACGCCGGCACAAACCTAAATATATTGATATATAATATTATATACCAAGCATTACATTGAATAAAGAATTAAACTTGGGACGTGTATATTTTCGTTATAAACTATTTCAATAAATTTAAAAAAATTATATCAGCACAAACAATAATTATTTTTTAGGATAAAAAATTCTATAAATTCTGCAAATCAATATTAAGACTTTTTCACAATTTTGATTTTTATGAATCATGCTAAATGAATTCAACTCATTTTTAATATGCAACATATCAGTAAATTCATCAATATTTCTACGTATTATTGCACATTACATAAATTATTTTAAATCATTGAATTTGTTTCATACCTGCATGTATCACTAAGGCAGCATGGTCCTTGGCTTGGACTGCATTGTGTATTTGCTCTCCTGTTACATCCACTGGCGGTACTATTTTTTAATCTATCAATATCGCTGACAACTCGAGGATAACAACATTTATCAGTGCACTCCTCATCATCATATCCTTAATAGCAAAAATAATACAATACAAATTAGATATATTATTCACGATGCGATTTAGAAACAACTCCAAGAATTATAATTTTAGATCTGCTTCAGATTTAATTCATTCTATTACGTAAATTGAACTTTAAAATATTATGGGTCAAGTTAAAGCATTAAAGTATAAATATATTTCAAAATCCAATATAGTATCTCACCGCAGTCGCATTCTTCCCCAGCTTCCACAATCTTATTTCCGCAGAAGGCACCAGCAGATGCTTTGAAACAATTTCTCTTCTTATTATCCTCGATGGCGTCCAAAACGTTTGAGATGTTGCCCACGGAACACGTTGAAAACTTACTATTGTTTGGTCGGTCACCACTTGTGGCACTAGCAAACATTATATAATTTCCATTGGCACCACCAGGACGACATTCCGGGGGGTAATCATGCTGAGGAAGAGAAACATGTACAAATATTGCTTGCATATTATTAATGTTCTGTAATTGCTAAATTTCTCACCGGTGATCCAAAATTATGTCCGATCTCATGAGCTAGTGTAAGTTGAGACACTTTCGGAGGCACTCGACTATTATAATTGACAAAAGTGATAATCCCCGTGTTCAAAGACCTCTTTGTCGATTGATACATTCCTCCGACTGTTTCAGTGTATGTCTTGTATTTCTCACAGATGCCCCCCGAGGCTCCACTGGCCGAGGCTACCCAAGCTAGGCCTAGGGTGCCACCAGTGAAGTCGCGGTAGGTGAACACGTAGGCTAGGCAAAAGTCTTCGTGATTTCCTAAAGAATGAAGATTTAGAAAATTGGACACGTCGATGTTCTCCATGCAGAATTGATTAGGTTCTCCTGCGAAAGGGTAGCCACATGCAGAATCATCATCGATCTGGAAAAAATAACATTAAATTATAAAGATAGGTAAATCTTAAATTTTTTTCACAATATTCTGAAACGTTCAAAAGATAATGGAGTAAGTAGAATATATCATACAAACAAACTTTATAAACAAGATGTTTACAAATATTGATCATATCCAAGAATAGAACTAACTGCTACACACCAATTCGTAGTTGCTATAACGTTAGTTAAAATTAATTGAAAAAATATTTCATATGCATCAAAATTATAATAATCTTACCTTTATCCGTTGGACTTCAAATTTGATATTTCTATGTTCTATTCGCCCGTCGAATTTTGTATCACGATATATATAATTCACAGCCGTTACATGGTGAGCGATTAATGACAAAATTTCCTCCCGAGTCTTTTCATCAACTTCTGCCTTTTTGCTGTAATCCTTGTGCTGAAATTAAATAAATGTATATTTTTTTAATGTATATTTCTGAATCAACATAAATAAGGCTAAAACGCTCTGACTTAAGAAATGTCTTTCGCTATAAGCGTCATGTAAAGGCGACATCGCCATGCAGTGTAACGAATTTTGCTTCAATAGTCATCACACGAGTCACATTATTCAGAATTCTAATTTGTTGTTGTGATTTGTTGTTTTTCACCAGTATAGTTGAATATTTTTGTAGGTAATAAATGGTAAATCTAAAAATATCATGTGAAGCAAATACTTGGTGGTCAACAGGCTCGTACAACAAGACGAATGGGTTAAAGCAGTTCATGCTGATATAAATATTAATTTGAACGGTAGTCAATTAATATATAAATTTAAAAAGTGAAAAATAAAATAAAATACTGATAGAACAGCCGGTATAATTTTATAAACTAGCAAATACCAATAATAAGAAAAATACTTATAAATTCCCTTACCTCTGCGAAACCTTCTCGAATATGCCTCCATATCAATGGATCAGTTTGTATAAATAATGAACAGGTATTTTTGTTATCCTCCTTATGCCTACTGGCCCTTTTGTGTCTCGAATGGCCCTCATTTGCTTCTCTAGAATATTTATTGTGCGTTTCCGTGTTCACGTCTCGTTGACTAAGAACTTTTTTGAGAATCTCGTTACTTTGCGTATTATTATTTAAAAATTTATACTTGTTACTAGGATGTATCACTGGAATTGGAGGCGGATCGTCCACGCCCGAAGCTTGGACCTGCTCCATCCATTGAAGAACGTCGTCGTTGATTCCGCAACCAGGCACATGACCTATTCGAAATAAATCATTATTAGAAATAATGGGAGAATTATACCTTTGTATCTTTTTGTTAGAAACTGAGCAATTGAATTATCACGAAATAAATAATTTCAAGGTTCAACTTTCAAGTTTCAAAACGATAGGCAAAAGAGACAACTTTCACTCAATTTTCAAACAAAATTATCTAATTATAGTGCTTTGTTGTTGGTTTCGTTTTCGAATATCAAATCTGACAAGTTTGGGCCTCTTCGCACGCATTTTATTTAGGTTAATTACCCTGGAGCGCGTCCAAAAGCATCGCATGTGCGAATTATCCTATGATGTGTTTAGAATTCAAATCAACGACAAATCGTCGACGGCTTACAGGATTTTAACAGTTGACTGATTTATGATTTATATGATCAGATTAAATTGAGATAGAATGAATTAGTTGATCAAAGATTTATAGATCGTGAAGGATTAATATACCTTAAATGAATTAAACTATTCATCCGCATTTGCATTAGTGCTTTACTGTTGAGATCTGTAAGACCAATTTTGTCTGGGTAATATGATGGTTATCGTATTGTACATATTTTGTGCTTTTTAGATTTAACCATGAGAAGCAACCCGTAGATTGACCCCCTATCTGTGACGATTATATTAAAAATCTAATTCATTATTATCAAAATACTAGTATATACTGAGAGCAGTAAAGGGGTATGGTGAAAAAATTAGGTCTCTTATTATCAGTAAGTTTCTCTGTTTTATTAAAATTTTATTATTTACATAGCATTATAAAAAAGTACTTATATCTGAAATCCATTGCGTTCATATGCTATGATATAATTTCCAATTTTGATTTCTCGGAAGGTGTGGTAATTAAACAAAAATCCAGTAGCAAAACTTTCGCACAACACTTTTTGTGAAATAATAAAGTTATGCATTATTAACATTTTTGCATTTGTGTCTATTCCGAACACCAAATAAAACTTTGTCACAACCCCCTGGACAGCTATTACATGTAAACGAAATTACTTTCTGCTCCTCTCACTGTGTTTCATAAAAATGCATCACAGCTAAACAATGTGGTGGCAATTTATTAAAATTAATTCATTAATATTACTTTATATTTATTTCAACATTATTTTTTCATTTTAGTGAGTGTTCGTGCAGAATATAGTCAATTTATTTTAAGCTGATTCAAATAATATGTAAATGGAATGAATAAAATATCAGAAAAAGGTGAATTTCAAATATGTACAATTTATTTAGCATTTAAAGTACTATTAGTGATGTGGAGGTAAAACTTATTGGGAATGATAGGTTATTGAAATTACAAAAATCGAGAGTGTTAATCAAATAAGTTTCAATTCTTTCTGACCTTTTTTACCATAACTTAAAAAAGGGGTTTTGAGCCAAAAATATTTGATTTGATACGAAAATTTGATAGTTTTTGAAGAATAAAAAACCAATATTTCAATGACTTATCTATATTTTATTACCAATTATTAATTCCTAATTTTCCTAATTCCTAATTCCTAATTAAGTCATTTGAAATGTGCGTATGCAAATGCATCTTATTGTATAATATGCAAATTATACATGCGTGTAGAATTAAAATAAAAACAGACCTAATTCGATTTTTTGCAGTGATATTATAAATCTGTATTATATCATTGCAACTCAACTTATATGCATTATATGAAATTCAAAATTTCAAAATTTATACAAATACAAAATTTATAATTGTTCATTGTTCATATAAATAAAAATGCTACTTTAATTTTAAAAACATATTTGACCCAGAAAATAATAAGCAAAAAATAGCACATTTCGCAAGTGTGTATTCAGCCTAACTTTTAGCCATTTTCCAACATTAATATCGAGCCACAACGGAGGTTTTTCACCGAAAAGCCGTTTTAATTCCCAAAAGGGATTCCTCCCCAGATTATACTCATTGTCAATTATGAAACGATTTATATTCATAGTCATTCAGGGTTCTTTGAAGTATTCATTTTTCATCGATGTCGGCATTTTTAATTTATATGTTTTAAGTGAAACAAGATTCATTTGCATTGATTATAATAAAGTTAATTGAGTTTGTTCCATTACTTCGCCGTAGGTGGAATTAGTCTGCTTCATATTAAAAAAAGTCGTTTGAGACATGGTAATGAATGTATTTGATGAAAAACTTTTTTCATTTGATTATAATATAACAATCTAAAAAACTTGTATTCTGTAAAAAAAGTTTTTGCTTTTGAAACTTTGAAAAACATATTTCTATATTATCTAGGAATAATTCAGAATATTGTTCGATAGTTGGTTGTTTGAAACGTGTTATGTGTCGGAATATTGTTCATTTGGTTTACAGTTCATTTAGTATAATTACTGGAAGTTAAATTGCTACCGTATCTTATTCAGATTCATGTACTAATGAATGATAAGTAACTTTAAGGAAGGATTTCAAGTAAAAAGCGGTAAAATATAAATCCGGAAGTACTTGCGAAAGCAGAAGTGATCAAATCGGTTTTTGCCGCTCGAAAGTCACGTCGTTCCGACGTACATTAAAGAAAACAAAAACAGCAAAACATAGAAGATGAGCGCGGAGAAGTTACCGCGCGACTGGGGCAAAAAAACACATATGCATTTAGATTGTTTTGGGGCGCCATACCTTCTCGAAGGGACTCATAAGGGTCGGCTACGTCTTTCTCGTTGTAGATAACGGAATGAAAACTGGCATTGTTTTCCCCTGGGAAGTAGTGTCGCGACTTTTCAACGTAAAACGTTCCTTTTGACTTGGAGATGATCTTGCCCTCGAAGACGCCGTCGATCACCGACCCGAACACGGCGCTGCCGGGGTCACCTGCGAGATAATTTGACATTTTAAGACATATTCTGAGATGAAAAGATATAAATTGTATCGATGCTTTTATCTGTATCAAAAGAAACATCAGAAACATAACATATTGTGCAATATAAAAGGAGCTTCGAAAATCCTGTTAACCATATATTCTTTAAATACCTTTATCTAGACACAGCACACATTTTCTATATAAAATATAATAGTTGAATTGTGATATATGTAAATAACTTCATAAATATAATATAATATAATAATTTTCATGATTATATTACATACTACATTTCTTACATCATATAGTTATTCCTGATAACATATATAATTGTTATTTCTATTTCAATATTAGGATAAACAAATTGTTAGTACCTACTTATTGATTAAAATTATATTACTTTTATTATTTTTATATCCAAAATGCTATTGTTGCATATTGTAGATTCACATATTGAAGCCTGAAACTATGGCCGAAACGAATAAATTTTAAATAAAATTTAAAAAGAATCATTATCTATTTATTTTACGCCTCTGTTATATTCAATTTTACGTTTCATGCTTTATGAAAATGTCATGTCTAAAAGGCTTTTCGTGTGCAATTATTTATCATCAAATCATACGAGTATATCTAAATTGCATGCTATTCCAAAGTAATAAACCAGAATTCTATTAATACATAGTTGTTATCAGATTATAATATTTTACTATTATTGCTCATAATTTATTTTTTTGAAAGCAAAAATAATTAATTAAGCTCTTATCGCTTTTAGGTGTAGCATAGACATCAATTTTTGCTAGTCAGTAAGTGAAAATTAACTCTGTCCATTTTTTCAAATGTATGCCAAAATGTTCAGAAGCTTTTGAAATATAAAAAATTTCATTTTCAATTTGTTTGCGATTGCATTAATTTACCCTACGAGAATTTAAACATTACTAAATGACATATTTAAACAGTTTTAAATTAAAAGGAAATTTAAACTTCCTTTTTCCGATTTTAAAACTTTCAATAAATTATCCCATCATTATTATTACCAAATCTCATGTTTCTAATCTTTTATTCAATAATATCCTCATAATTACTTATATATATATATATATATATATATACAGTAGAATCCGCTTAGAATGACATCGAAGGGACGCCGAAATCTCGTCATACTAACCGGTCGTCATACAAAGCATACTGAAGAAAAACTTTTTAATGTGTGAATATGTTACATGTTTCAGTAATTTAAAAGAAAAGCCTAAAAATAAAAATGACACATATTAAAATTTAATATAAAATAAAATTGACATAGGGGGGCATAAAGGTCCAATTTGACTTACAGAAATTATACTGTCTAAACTCAATGAACAACCTTGCAACACATAACACACATCAAACAAGCATCTATCGAACTATGTACAGAAAAAAATTCACATAATTCCTAATTATATAATTTTTTTTTTACTATTTTTTTTAATTTGGTATCTGATCCATTTTACCTCACATACGGGGTAAAGTGGGACAACCAGGGTCAAACAGATGCAATTTCTTATATTAAATTTTAAAGGGATTTTACGGTACATTATTGAACCAATGCAAAATTAATTATGTGGGTACATTTGTTACAAAGATAACACAGTATATTACATTGATCTACTATTGGTCAGAAATATTCATCAGAAGAGCCGGAATAATAATTTATTTAATTAATCTCTTGTAAAATGTTTTGTTTAAAACTTCACTATTTTATTGCTTATGCCTTTGCCAAAGTAAAGGTTCAGCTGGTCCTTTTTATCGCACTCATGTGCTGCTTATCTTCTGATAGCAAAGTCATAACAATAAAGCTAGGTGATGGCTGGTTATGAATTTATACATTTATTGCCCTCTACTATCAAAATTTTTTTTTATATATCAAATTTTATTTGTTTACGAGATATCCGTGGTGGACCATTAATAATTGATCAACCCTACCCACAAACATACAAATGTGATTTTTTAATGCAAGTAATCAGTAATTTTTGATTGATTTCTTTACATAATTTTATTGTAAAAACAGTCCCTGGTGCTATTGTGCATAAGAGACTAGCAATTGCTTTCGTAGACTTGGCGACATCATGTAAAATCATGTCGGTCATTATAATTGGACATAATTTTTTGCAAAAATGGGTCATTGTAAGCGATGTCAATATATCCGACTAGACAGCTGTTTTTTAAGGAATTTTTTATGGAAACCAAACATCTTAGTGCGATTACGTCATAATAAGCGGTTGTCAATATATCCGGCGTCATACTAATCGGATTCTACTGTATATAATATATATATATATATATATATATATATCCTTATAATTACCTTGCAGGTCTCCCTCGTACACATGCGACGTGTCGACCCCATGGATGGGTCCTTCCGGCCCATGGACCTCTAGCCGATCGCTGAAGGCGCTTAGGTCCCTCCTCAGCCGTAGCCTGAAGTCGTGCCCGTGCGCCTTAAACCTCAGCCGGAGTCGACTCGATTCCGACTCGAAGTCCGCCGACCGCCGGACACGTTGGTGATCGCTGTGCACTGGCGCCGAGTCGTAGTGCAGCGGCTCGTAATGCGACACGTACTCGCTAAGGCGGCGCGCTGAAGAGGAAAGAATAATTGTTAGAATTTGTAAGTTTTTTGAAATTTTTTGTTATTATCAAAACTTATTACTGTTTTTCACAGTAATAAGTTAAATAGGAATACTGACTCCTAGCAGATGTGGTAAATGTTATATGGAGCAAACCAAGAACAACTAATTTTAAACAATTAGTGTAGATCGGGGTTTGAAGACCTGCGGGTCAATAGGTCCACAACCGATATCTCAAAAAGAAGTAAAGTTACAATTTTTTTAACAACAATATTTGAAAGTAGAAGGAAAAGCCAGTATAACCAGCCATCATCTTGATTTCTAGGGCGTTCCTTTCGGGAGATAAACTGCAATGTTTGAAAATGCACAACAAAAGTATTATCTATCGTTATTTAATAGTTTTCTAGTTAAATTCGGCCGATTTTTTTAATCTAACTTCTATAAAAGTTTACACGTAGGCAGGGTAAAAACGACCAACTGAATCTTTACTTAATAAAAAAGTGAATTAAGTTACAAAAGCAACTTTAAAGCTTGAAATATTTAGATCATGACTTTCACTATTTCACAAGAGATAAATTAAATAAATAGTTATTCGAACTCTGCTGATTAATATTTCTGACGAAATACCAGACCAAGGTTATATACAGTGATATCTCTGTAAAAATGTACCCATGAAATTTATATTTTGCATTGGTTAAATAATGTAGCTATTATTTCGTAAAATCTCTTTAAAATCAAAAATGAAACATTGGACCTGTTTTCCCCCAGTCGTCGCATTTTAGCTTGCCTATGAGGTAAAAGAACCATGTGACAAACTTTTGGAAAACAGCAAAAAAACACATTTCTACAATGATGATTTAGCTGGGAGTTTTACTAAACATAGTCAGATAGTTGTTTGTTTGATATATGTTATTTGTTTTGGTATGATTAATTTGCACAATATAATTGCTCAAGTTCAATTTGAAGCATTGTGCCTCACTCTACCCTGTATAATTATTAGCTAATTAAACGAACTCCTAATTTGTTACGGAATATCACATCTATGCACAGCATAGATAAATAAGATTATTTGTCAATTACAAATTACTTCTAGTATTTCTTCATGTTACAGGAAAATTTCCGTTACAGGAAATAAGAACATGAAGTTCTAGTAACTTAACGTGTATTAATTTAATCACAGAAATTATATTACTGCAAATGCAAATGTAGGGGCACATGTGCGAGTCATAATTAATAATTTAATCATTTGCGAAACATGTCATATTTAAATGGTCTTAAATATTTCGTACTTTCTGTAAAATGTCATTAAATATGTCATTTTCATTGGCAATTAAAGTAAACGCAATTAATTCTAATATTTGTCATTATTAGTGTGTGATTAGAAGTAACATTAAAATGCAAATTATTCGTAATGAAATTTGGCAATAATTTTCACTAAGGAGTATCAGCACGAGGTAAAATACATTTAACAATTCAAAAACAAAACTTTTGCAAAACTATATATGTACTCTAATATGATATTGATATAATCGAAAAATGACCCTCTTCTATTATACTTATTCATCAATAAATTAAGTAGTATTACTAAGTTACAAATTATTGTTATTTCTACAAGTCGTAATGATAATTAGCATATTTATTCAATTAATCGATTAATATTTTAGCAAATTTTATAGACTTGCTCCTTAAATTTACAATAACTAGTAAACACTGCACAAATGTTTTCTAAGCTTTTCCTTTAAATTTCACATATATTTATGCACAAATTTAATAGCCGTTCGAGTGGTTTGAACTTTGAAAATAATTCCTGTTCAATTGTATATTAACTGTCAGTAAGTTTGAACAATTGAAATCCTTCACCCGCAGAAACTAACTTTTGTTAAGATAAGGACATTATCACGCAACCTATATTGCTCTGTAGTGGAGACATCCATAGACGGTGAGAACTTGCGGCCGCGCTATCAGAACTTTTCCTGGAGACTGATGAAGTTTTTGAAAACGTATTATATGTACATTGCATTACGAAAACGGATGAGAACTGCGACATATATCTTTTCAAAGGAACTAGAAGGATTTTATCGAGAATCTGTGAGAAAGATCACCTCCTCACAATCTTTAAACGTTGGCATAAAACACATTAGTGTTAATATGTGTAACATTTATACATATTTCTTGCAGTAACCTACAATACAAAGTATAATTGCAATTTTAAGTATTATTGCTGAATAAAAAATAGAGCTACATTATGTGTTAGCTCTGGTGTAGAGTAGGGCGGGGCACAAAAGTTCAATTTGACTTTGAGCAATTACATTATCAAAATCAAACCAATTATATCACAACAAATAACACATATCAAACAAACAACTACCTGACTATGCCCAGTAAAACTTCTAGCTAATTCAATATTGAATAAAAGTATTTTTTTTTCAAAAACTTGTCACCGGAAAAATGGTGCAATGTGATAGCTACGTCGTGAGAATAAAGGTGATGGATATTCAACTTTTTCCTTCTATTTTCAAATATTGTTGTTAAAAAATATTCAACTTTACTTGTTTGTGATTTATCGGTAGGGAATATTTTGTTCTATTAACCCTATACTAATAATAATTATTTGCTAAATATATTATAAAATGAACATATAATGTCCATAACTTAAATAATAATAACTTGATGTGGAATAAGAGTTTAAACAAAAAATATATTTCAAAATGATAACCACAGCTAACTAAATAAAAATAAACACGTTGGCTATTCCATTAAAAGATTCCAATGTCAATTTTTCGTTGGCTCTACGTCTATTTTCCTCGATTGTGGGTTAGCCTACGCCTGTTTGCGTGCGAGAAACTCGTACTAGTATCGCAAGGATTAAAGTTTCTTACCCAACGTATACATTATTTATATTATACTTTTCGAGTTAGACGAATCCAACTTAGAAGAGTACTCAACTCCTCCTTTCATCTGGCGATGTTAAGAAAAAAGAAGAATCAAAAGAATTTTATGCAAAGACCGCCGAAACTATTCTCAGCGAAAAAGTACATAAATAATAAAGTTTTGCTCGATGCGATGCGAAATCTATAAGCGAACCACATGAACGAGTTTGTTATGAATTTATATCGTAGTTCAAATTCGGATTGAAGAATGAAGTATTTTGGTAATATTTAGAGTTTTGTGCATAAAAATATAGTGCATTATCATATATCGCAAATTTCATGTTTGTCATTAACAGTTAATAAAAGGTTGATTACTCCTGATTGTTACCATCAGTTAATAGAATAATAAAAAACCAAAATATATATATATATAAAAATATACATCAGTTATTCAGGGATACTATCATTTAATGTAGTTTATCATAATAGTTACACCCTGTTTCGGCTTCACGTTGAGTTCTGGTTTCTTTTTAGCTAGAACAGCTCATTATATTATATCTTTTATGTTTGTTCGGAAACTAAAATGACCTAGGTAATATACTGGATAATCTTACCTAAATCTCACTTTCATTTTCTTGTAATAAGATTCTATACATTAAAAATAATAAATTGCTAGTGTAATGCTAGCTTGCTCACTATTAATTAAATAACAATTTTTTGCTAGATATTTCTTCATTATATATCACAGTTTTTCGCACTCTACATTATAAAAAAAAAACATTTTTAAAAACGTGCATATGATATGCTAACTATTATTTCCCACATTTGCATACTTAACTATGTGTTTCGAACTTATGCACACAAGCAAAGCATTTAATATAATTAGGGTTGAATGCCCATCAATATTAACGTATTGACTAATATATATTGTATATTAATTATTACATCTGAAATTAATACATTAGATATTAATATATACTGTAATGTTCAATACGTATGTTGTATCATAACAGATACCGCAAATGGCATTGGCAGAGGCGAATAAACAAATATATAGATATATAAATGGAGATATAAATAGAGATATACATAAATGAATAAATCCATAACTAGTGGGGTGGATGGCATCGTGACTTAAGGCAAATTGCTGGAACTTCCCGTACCATAACGAAATGATCAAAGAATAGTGAATGTTTTCAAATAGATCATTATAAATATTGTATGCGAAAATGTTCAGAAACCTTCAAAACGTCGAGAAATGTAAAAAAATTCAATTCTGATTTTCGGCCCATTACAATAACTTACCGTACGGGAAGTTAAAAATTCTAAATAGTGAAAATTACTTAAGACCTTTTGATATTTTATCAATTGCTCGATATAGTTTGATGTTTTTCTCAACAGTTTGACAATTTTTGTCACCTTTAATACATCAATTAAAAGCAGCATTCGATAATTGAAAGCAATTTATCATTACCTAAAATTTGTCATTTTACTCATCTCATCCAATGTCATATAACGTAAATAATGAAAATAACTTGTAAATAAACAATAAATACTGACTCAATTTTAAAAAAACTTTAAGTGAGAGGCATAAAGTGTGAGAAATATATGGTACCATACACCTTGACGTTGGTATCTAATTCCAGGCATTGTTATGTCAATATTTGAAAAGTCATTAATATAGAATATATCCCATCTGAACTATCATATTAATTATTCAATCAAAAGTTACAAGACACCTCAAAGTTTGATGAAAATTTGTAACAACTTTGTATAAACAGTATCTATGTTTTAGTACATGTGAGAGCAAATGTAATTATTTCAGAGTTTTCTTGATGGAAAGTATTTTAATGATAAATATTTACTTTTAGCTCATTCATAAGCAATATACACGTACAAGAGATTGAATTGCATTTAAAATTAGTTGAAATTATTAATCGTGAAAAATCCATTTTCACTGATATAAATAAGATTTAAGTCGATCGTGGCCGAATATTGGCAAGAACTTACAATAAGACCTCAGGTTAACTATTCCGGGATTTTATGTAACTTCGCACGGAGATAAAGTTTATAGTCAAACCGAACCCTTTATAATATCATAGGCATATGAGTAGTGGTTTCAATAAAAAAAATAAAATTGCAAAAAATGCGCAACGCGCTATATCTAACCGTATAGCTATG